TTTTATTACCAAGAGCAAGGACACTGTTTAAAAACAAGAGTTATGTCACCACTAACCCAAGTCCAACTTCCTAGGTGATTTAGCTGTTTTATTTCATAGAGCAGACATATCTGAAAAGTTATAGAAGCTTTTATAACAATGCAGTGTGACACGTCTGGGTTTGCTGTGTATGGCAGGTAATTGTTTGTGGGACTAGACAGGCGGCGAGTGGATGAGTGTGCATATGCAATGGTGCATTTTCCCAAAGCTCCCCTGTGTAGCTCTCCACATGGACAGAGCATCATGGGCAGCAATGGTTTTAAGATACTGGACAGAAGAGAAGAGAAGAAGTGATTCCTCAGAGGTGGGCAACAAGACGAACCCTACAGCTGCCCAGCTCACTACCTTGAGACTTTCCAGGCCATGGGTGGAGACCAAAGGAATTAAAAGATTTGGCACAATATTATCCAACTTGACATGGTTGATCTATAAAGAATATATTTTTCTTCCAGCAATGGCGATATATTTATAGGCACAGCCACTAGGGGGGCTGAGGCAGGAGGACCACTTAGATAGAGTTTGAGACTAGTCTGGACAGAGTAGATATTTTCTCTCCCAAAATAGTACTTTTTTTTTTTTTTTTTTTTTTTGGTTTTTCGAGACAGGGTTTCTCTGTGTTGCTTTGGAGCCTATCCCGGCACTCGCTCTGGAGACCAGGCTGGCCTCGAACTCACAGAGATCTGCCTGCCTCTGCCTCCCTAGTGCTGGGATTAAAGGTGTGCGCCACCAATGCCTGGCTCATATTCTTTATAAGCATACACTGATCATTAACCAAAATAGAAACTATTTGTACCATAGTGTCTCAACAAGTTAAACAATTCAACACAGACAAAACAGGTTTTCTGATCATAGTGGAATTGAAACCAACAGCAGAGAGACCTTTGCAAACAGATTTCTAACTAACTCATGTGTCAAAGGAGAAATCAAAACAGAAATTAAAAACTATCTTCCATTGAATAAAGGACAAGACACAGCATATCAAACTTGTGTGATGTAAGAGACACATGGAGAGGATTGAAAGGTCTCATCTATGTTATGATTATTTTAAAAGGAGTTTGAAAGGAGGAGCCTGCATGGGTGGACATTTTGTTCCCAGAGATGTGAGTCATTAAAAAGAATCTCATTGCCAAGCATGGAACATCTGTAGTGACTGCCCAGGCCCCACCAGTCTCCAAAATGACAGAAGCCATTGCCACTAATTGCTCACAATAGCTAGGTGTCAGCCTGCTGATGAAGCCCCTATACATTTTGGTTGCAGGACATAGACATCAGTCTTGAACTGACTGGGGAAACACCCTCCCCCCTGCTAGCTTTCATTGTGCTAGAAGGTGCTGCCATAGATCGAGTTCTGTGGAATCTTATGTAAACATACATTATGGATCTCATTCCGCCTGACTTCTTTAGGCATAATTCATTTGAGATTCACCCATTTTGTAACATGTAGTAGTTCATTCCTTTTCAACTTCTGAGCTGTATTTTATCACAGGACTCAACCTACAGTGACAGCAGGTAGATTGGTGGCTGTGTGTAGCTGCAGCAGGGAGCAGGGACAGAGGCTGGGAAGACTACACAGGGCACAGACACGAGTTTGAGGCTGTAGAAATGTTCTCAATTGTGCTAGGGATTCCATGGGTATACATGTATGTCAAAACTTGTCAAATGATACATGTCAAATATATGCAATTAGTTGTAGGTCAATAATCTCTCAATAAGGCTGTTTTAAAAACTCATCTTTAATGATTTGGCTGCAGGAATCTAAGGCAAAATGTATGCTGGGGAGATCCAAGATCACAGAACTTTTAGATAATAACTTTACTTGTCTCTAAAACCTACTTTGCCTTTGTGAGAGAAACTTTTCTTGTTTATCACAATTAATAATCTATTGAGTCTACCTTGAGGCTCTTCGTACACACACAGATAAAATAGGGCATGTCATTCAATTAGGCTTCGCTAGTCTCTCCTCTTATCTAGAGGAGAGGGCTAAGGTAAGCATATGAGAGAGATTTAACATATTAGATTATATAATAGGTTGTCAGAAATCTATGTTATAAAACTAGAAAACACGTGCTAATATAAAACATATTTTTCTTTACGTTTTCCTTACTCACACCCCTTTCTTTTCCTTTTTAGTGTCTTCCTGCTACTTTCTGTCTTTTGTTCCCTCCACTTCTGCCTGTGTACCCCCTCCCCACCATTTACCAATAGGAGTATGCAGTGGCTCAGACCACAGCATGGATCCTGGCATTCCCTGCTTCCAGTCTCACCATCACTGTTCAGGGCGTGACAGTTTGTATCTTGTGTTCCGATTTCCATGATATAGACAGGGGTAAAAATCAAATGCCCTTTCTTCATAGGGTTGGTGTATAACAGTTATTCTCAACCTTTAGGGGTTTGCGTATCAGATATTTACATTATGATTCAAAACAGTAACAGTATTACAGTTCTGAAGTAGCAACGAAATAATTTTGTGTGTTTGGGGGTCACCACATCATGAGGAACTGTATTAAAGGGTTGCAGCATTAGGTAGGTTAAGAACCACTGATGTATAAAATGAGTTGATACAGGAAGAACAACTTGGGAGTAGTTATTAATCACCACACAAGTTATTGCTATCAAGAGTGCCCATTCTATGTCAGGCACACTGGACTCCAGTCATGATGTGTAAACAGCCCTAGGCTCAAAGCAGATTTGAGAATACATGAGAGTCCAAGATCTGGATCCCAGGCCCAGCTTGGCCAGTACAATTCTCTGGCCCTGACTGTGTTCCTCTTACATCAGAGTGTAAGCTATTCATTGTAAAAATGGGAAGTTTGGTGTAGAAGATGTATTTATAATCCCTTTCAGCTTTAACTAATGCATTTTTTAGTTCAAAAGTATAAAAACATTACAAAGTAAAAAGCTTTGCTATAACATTTGGGCACAACTGAAGTGACTTCAGTTTTCCTATCACAGCAAAGGCCATTTGTCCCTCAGGACAACACAGCTAAAAGGACATCAAAGCATTACAATATCAGGGGGAAATTGTGTTTACTTCTTTAGTGTTTTATGAGAAATTGTAACACACAGCTTTGATTCGTATCTTCAGGAGATATTCAAAATCCTGGATTTGAACTCCCTCTTCCTAGCACTGGACATGAAGTCTCTCGAGAGGTCAGACTGTGTGTACTTCATATTTAAGGGGGAGGGGTTTCATTAGCCTGGCCTCAGTGATCCACCGGAAGTGATCCTCATTTCACGAATGCTGAACAGGTTCTGGCTTTTCCAAAGTCAGGCATTCTGAGTGGTGAGTGAAGTAACCACAGAAAATGAGTGTCCACATAGATGTACTTGTGTGAAATTCCCTTGAGGGGGATGGAATAGTCTGTATGTAATGCGGTGGGTCATGCATGACAAATATCTTTTACAAGGCAAAGACATTTAATGCAGACATGTCTTGAATTGGTCCCATCACATGGTGTTGCATCACACGGTTTGGTGAGGACAGCAGTCAGACAAGATGTGAGTGCAGAAAGGGTGTGTGCTGTGTGCATGTGTGGGCAGCAGCCTGGGTTTACTTCTAGTATTTGGAAGTGTGACTATGGTGGGGTGGGGTGGGGTGGGGTGGAGACTGTCTTCAGCTAACACTCTGGGAGACATTGCCTTGTGGGCTGGAAATTGTCAGTACTCTGAAGACTAAAGTAGGAGTGTCACACTGATGTTGAATCAAGTACTTATTCACAAACTACCACATTAATTCCCTAGCCAGTGGCTCTCAACTTGACCATTGAAGACATATTGACAGCAATGACCAAATAGGAATTTTGTTAAAATAAATGAATTTCAGGTCTTATGACCAGAGTCTCAAGTCTCTTTTATCTTCCAGGACACTGTTTCTCTTTCCCACATTCTTCCTTCTATCTGCCAGGCACTGTTTCTATCTCTCATACTCCTTTGAGAAAAATCTCTTAAACTGTTTTTTACTGGAAGAAGCTGTGGAGCTGTTTCCATGAAGTTTATGATGTGGTACCTCAACTGGCCACTGTCTGAGAAGAAATAATCTCATTTAATTAGCAGACACCTCTAAGTGAGGGGTTGGGAGTTTGTGTGTGTGCCTGTGTGTAAATGTGTGTGTGTTGGGGAGAACAAACAGGAAATTTAAGTTTTACTTTTATTTCTAGGAGGTTAAAGGATACCAGAGGATCTTTATTAATCACGGATGACTAAGTTTAATTTTTAAAAATTGTATTAGTTTATTACTAAAAATTGGGAAATACAACAAATAAAACAGATTCACAGAAATAAAACTAGCATTATTTTAGTTTATTTTTTTACTAATACCTTTCTGGCTTATTTTTACATAGTTGACATCACATCTATGTATTTATTCACAAGATATTCCATGCATTTCACTATAAAACACACACACACACACACACACACACACACACACACACACAAAGAGAGAGAGAGAGAACACAGTCTTGCTTTTATATCCATGTAGGACTCATGATTTTCCTTCTTTTTCCTATATCATATCATATCATATCATATCATATCATATCATATCTTAGTGTGTGTATTTTTTGGAGACAGGGCCTTGCTTTTTTAACCAGTTCCCTTAGGACCCATGATCATACCACCTCCTTTTCCTGAGTGATGGAATTAATGAGTTTACCACCATGTCTAACATATAGTTATTTTTAATATCAAAATATTTCTACCATACTGAAACTACAGTATGCTCGACTCTTCTCATGTTATGTTGTTGGGAAAGCACATAGCTCACCTTTGCTTTCTCTTTATGGTTATTTCTATGATGTGGCATTACTGGATCATACTCAATATATTTTTTAGGTTTTAGATATATTTTAACCCAAGGGTTGCAGCAAAAACACACCCCCAACAGTATATAAACATATTTCATCTAATGGCAATATTGCTAATTTTGGCCATTTCCTGAAAAAAAGAAAACAACTTCAGAGTTTGATATTAAGCAGTATTTTATTGTAATTGTATTTACATTTCTCTGATTATTAGCTATGCCTTTTCTGTTCTTCCTTTTCTACCCACTGCGCCCAGTACTTACATTTCATCCTTAGGAATGAAATTATTTTATTTTATTTTATAAATTCTATTGAAACAATGATAACATTCATTAGGGTGGATTTTGTTAGATTGATTTAAGTATTTGTTATACAAATATTCTAAAGGCTGTAGTTTATTGACATGAAAAAAATGAAGCACACATGTTTAGGGATCATTACATACTAACATTACATACTGTTTTCAAATAACATGGTTTGCTTTATGGTGCAGCTGCTGCAGAAAGCACAATTATAACTTTCAGATCAAATGAGAACACATAATCTTTACATTAAGGGCAAAAGGACTATAAAAATACAATTCTGAAAAACTCTAGAGGACCATATTGGGATTGCCGAAGAATAAAGTCTTTTATTTACCTCTTCAAAGAACAGATTATTCTTTTCACCTCTTTATGTGCATCTCTGTCCTATGAAGAAAATACAAATGTACAATAAAATGTCACACATTTATCTTGATACTCCAAGGACTTCAATATTGACTATTTATGATGTTTCATAAATGTTATACATTGCATTATTGACTTTATCAAGTAGCTTATCCTGGAGATTACTCTCCTGTGAGTGATTAACACCATCTGAAAATATTATAGCAATTTAAAGCACAGTTTCTCCTTCAGACTAGTACCTCTGTCACTGTAAATCAAAGTATTATAATTACTTTCCCATCTGAATTTTCTCAGTACACTCCAGGCTGCTGAACTTGAATGTTGTTGCTAGGCAAGCAGCGGTGAGGCTATTGATGAAGTCAGTATTTCATTCAGCAGTCATTATATATTGTGTTACACATAGAAATTCCTTTTCTTTTCTGTTTTAAAGAATGTTTCTTAGGATCTGTGATTAGTCCCTTAAAGTGAAGAGATGCTCACATGAGTAATAGAGATGCTGTAGTTTTGGATTCTTGGACTGCAAAGCTGTTTGTTTATACACATTAATTTGGGCTCTAGAGACCAAATGGCTGATAGTCTGAGTAGCAACTAGATGTGTGATAGGTTTAGAATGTCCTGATAAGGGACAAAGTCATGTTCACAGATTACTCTAATTCAAAGAAGTTACAGGTGCCACAAGAAAGATGACGGATGCTCTGAAAGCTCACAGGCAGGGAAGAAAACTAACAGTGAAGTATGTGCACTGTAATTTGTAGTGCTGTGAGTTTGGCAATGAGTAAAGTAATTAGCAAAATCACTAAGTGGATCTATTTCAGACTGAAAAACAATTTGAGAGACAGGTGGTTATACATATAAATAAATCACTTTATCCTATGCTCTCAAAAGAAAGGAAACTGAATTCCTGACAGTACATATGCAACTTCCAAAAAGTTTAATAATATAATGAAGGCTAGAAAAGATAAGATCATTGAACCTCAGTACCAGTGAGGCCCTTGCACTCACTCTCACTGTCTAGACTTACCTCTTTGGTAATAATAGGCAGCAATAATGCCAAGTTACAGAATTTCCAAGCATCTTGAGATTCGTCAAGATCAATGTAACACTAGAAATGAAAAACAAAACGCATGTTAAAGGCCACCCACATTTACTGCAATGCATTCAAGTGATCTCTAAGCAGTCCTCTTCCTTACCTTGGCCACATACATGTAGTTGGACATAGAATAACCAGGTTTCAATTCTTCAGTCTGAATTAAGAGAAAGCAGACAAGAGAATAACAGGGCAACGTTATTACAAGAAAGCTTATTATTACAGAAAAAGGACATAAAACCTGTGGCCAAACTGCCACAAGAATTTTGGTTGTTTCATGCTTGAATACTTTTATTGGTTTAAGTATCTTTGGGTAGAAACACAGCTTTTAAAGATAGCTATTAGGGTGGACTGGTGCTTCCAAATGGCCATTAAACTTCCACGAACAAAAAAATATTTAGCAACATTCTTTCCCCAGGACAGTTCTTATACATTCCACTGTCTGTTTAGGAAATGAGAGTAGAACATGGCTGTTAGCCCATGGCAAGCATCTAATAGACTAAGGCTTGATTGCTTAGGAACACATGACACATGACTTCAATAACATGTGAAGTCTATCACATGCAGTGCTTTTAAAGGAAATACAGGATCCTTGAAACAGCTAGTCCTAGCATTAGACAAAGTTGGTACTATTAATGTGCCCAACTCTCCTCTTTCACCTACAATTCCAATCTCTGAGGCACAAGAACTCCTTTAGAGATAGAGTATTAGAGAACTCGTCTAAGGACCCAAGTCAAGTCAGTCTTTGCCTTGGAGCCACCTTTGTCAAGGTGGCTGGACATGTGAGCTCCCAACCTGACACCAGTCCCTAGCCTGGAGGGACACAGAACCCAAGGGAAGAGATATACCTAAAGAACTTTAGAGGTCTAGTTATTTACAGATTTTTAAAAAGCCAAGTATCTCCCTTCTAATTTTGTTCTCAGCTTCAATCTCATTGTCCAGGAGTACCACTATCAACTGTCCAACAGTCATCCTACAAAACTATTCATTGACTATAGAAATAGAATTAGTTTTTGAAAAGTAAGACCTATAATGGGGCTATTTGTCTATACTTGTTTCCTTTCCTGGAGCCACAGACACATCTTCATGTTAGCATACATAGATCTGCTTCATTGGTCCTAAAAGGTGTATTCCAAACTATCAATATACTGTCATTAAATTCTTCCATTAGACATTTAAATTTGTTCTCAGTTTTCACTGTCAAAGAACACACATCTGTAGGCAAGACCAAGACTGACAGGTAAACAATGTGTGGCCATGGCACGAAGGAGAGAGTGCAGCTGCCAGTCGGAGGAAGTTGTCGTTTTGGTTTCAGCTAGAGCTCTGGATGGGCTCTAGAGCCACCCACAGTACTGATGGACTCTGGCTAGCCAGGAACTTCTCTTTTCTCTTTTTTTTATTTGCATTGGTGTTTTGCCTGCCTGTATGTCTGTATGAGGGTATCAGATCTTGGGAGTTACAGTTATGAGCTGCAATATGGATGCTGGGAATTGAACTCAGATCTTCTGGAAGAACAGTCAGTGCTCTTAACCTCTGGGCCATCTCTCTAGCCCCACATTTCTCTTTTCTAATCACTTCCAACTCAATATTTCTCATCTGGTAAGAGTATTTAGTGAGCCATTCCAAGAGGGCCTCGGGCTGATCATCCAACTGTACCCGCTTCTATGTTCAGTACTTGCCTTAGCTCTGTGCAAACCCTATCTGAATAACGTCCACTCAAGTGCTCTCTCCTGCACCCCTCCCTCAAATAACAGAATAACTGGAATATGTGCATGGACTTCATGAGGTAGGCACTTCTAATATGGAAACTGGAAATCCAATGTGCTTAAGAACTGGCAGGAAGGTGCTCCAACATTGGAGGTGTGGAGGCATTTCCAGTTGTAGGTTTCTGATGTCAATCATTTAGTTTGTAACTATAAGATTGTATAAATGGTCCCAGAGTAAGGTAAAGAGACCAGCTGAATAGGAAGTTAATTTAATAGGTGGATATAACACATGCTTAGATGTATGCAATACTATATTTAAGTGTTCAAAGTTGTATCAGCAGAGTCATTATACATTTTAAAGTAAGAATAAGAACACTGGTTTGATCTGATACCCGCAGAACCTTCTATAGAAGTGTCTGCAACTTAGAAAGTGGTTGCTAAGACAATTCTTCCCGTCTTTTAGATAGCTACTTGCTCCAGCTGAAACATTCTTCCCTGGAGAGAGAAGGGACACTATCAAACTCAAGAATCTAAGGAAACTTAGGAGGCACATGAAACTGGGGACCTTAGCCAGATTTCAGGAAACCCAGAGAGTGTAAGACTCACAAGGCCCTGCTTCACGGGGAAAACAGTTGCTGGGAAAGGAGACTTTTCAATGGAGCAGCCTGAAAGCTGGGCGAGAGCTCTGCAGAGGCTGCTTCTCCAATCATTACCCACACTGGGGTGTTCTTTGCAGTGGTGCAGCTGCCTTGAGTCACCTGTGTTTTTGTAAGTAACTCCATAAACTCTGGCTTGGGTTGAATCAATTATTCATCAGTGTCCTGCCTGGTTCCAGTTCCCATTTCCCTAGAAAAGTTACATAACAGAATTTTTAAGATTATACTGGTTCCCTGTCAGGCTCATGAGGGATGTTGGGAGCAAGTTCAATAATTTGCTCTCAGATTTGGTAGTAAAAGTTGCTCTACCTGCACCTTTATTTAGGCTACCAAATTTCTTTTAAAAAGTAGTGTGCCAGCAGGGTGTGGCGGTGCACACCTTCAATCCCCAGCACTCTGGAGCCAGAGGCAGGTGAATCTTTGAGTTCAAGGCCAGCCTGGTCTATAGAGTGAGTTCCAGGACAGTCAGGGCTACACAGAGAAATCCTGTCTCAAAAAACCAAACCACCAACCAACCAACCAGCCAGCTAGCCAGCCAGCCAACAAAAAACAAAAAATTATTGTGTCATTCCTAGGACCAAGAAAATCATTTTAGAACCATAAAGCTAATACTTGAAGCATAACTTGAATCTTGAGAGACTTAAAGGCAATACTGTCAAGGCTATAATTCAAACCGGGGCACATGGAGAGAAGAAATATTTCCTTGACAACAGGACAGTTGATGCTGGTGTGGAGGAGGCAGCATGACACTAAAATGAAAAACACACCTTAAGGAAGTTATGCAAAGCTTCATGAACCGTTGAAGATGGTATTTCCCCAAACAGAGTAGCAGCCATTTTTTTCTCAATCCAGCTGAGTTTTGAGACCTACACATACAAAGGAAAGCACTCTCAGGAAGTTACCACCTTTTGAATGGACAATCTCTCTCCAGTTATATGTGTAAACATATATGTATCTATGTGTATATACATAATACATGTTAACAAACATACTCCTAATTAATATAGTATGCAGTAGAGACAGGACCCGCCTCTGCCTCTCCTCCCTATTTCATGCTACCAACCATCCTCCCAAGGCAGTCATTTTCTTAGAGATGGATATGAAATCACGATTCTTAGTCTAGGGAGTTTAGCCGGAAAAGAATACTTATTTACTACTCAAGACACAGACAGGCTATCAGTAGATGCTCCAGTAGATGGCCCTACACCCATGCTCATACTTAGTGGGTTAAAAAAACAAAACAAACAAAAAAAACATTTGAAGTTGTAAGAGCAGAGTGGCAAGAGGGTAGGAGAGGAACTGGAGAGAAAGGGCCGGGGTGGATTCAGAAAAAAACAAACTATATGGATGTATGTATGGAATGCTCAGACAATAAAAATAATTAAATTCAACTTTATATTGCCATTTATTTGTTCAACACCCCCAAATACAAATATTGGGCATGTATTTCAGAAATGCTACTTAAAGGCATTGTTGAAGCTCTTGTCCCCTCAGTGGCATCAAACATCTTTTCAATCCATTTTAAATTTCTATGTAGTCATCTTTTGGCAAAAAGAAATACATACCTGTGGAGCTAGGAATGTAGTTCTGTGTACAGCACTTAAAGAGCATGCGTAAGGCTGAGGGTGCAATCCCCGGTGCTGACAAAACTATGCACATTTCTACACAATTCTATTCATTGATTTGACTAATTTTTATATCTTAGTTTTGTAAAAACTATGTCACACTATTTATTTCCTTTGTGATTTTTTCATCTAACATTACTTTTATCAGATTGATGAGTATAACATTTTGTAACTCTTCTATAAGCTAATAGTGTTATTTAGGTCTTAGGTTGACCAGTTGCCCTTATTTGAGCTGTTTCAATGTCTCATACTCCATCAAATTAAGTTCTTTGAAGGAACCCTGGCCTCTGTCATATTTGAAGATGACTTTTGGAACTGTAGTTTAGTAGTGAATGTGTAAGGTGGTCCTGAATTTGATCCCTAGCACTATAAAAAGTATTTATTTTCTTTCCACAGAACCATGGTACACTTATATACAATATGTGTGTGTAACTGATCTCAACCTGAGAGAGCCCAAAGTATGACTTCTGCAATCCCATGGAAAGATAAAAAATGTACACACACACATATGACACCTACCTCTAGATGTAATATAAAATGTAAGCTTATAAATGATAAAATATATACATTACAATTTAAAATTAATATTCAATTTCAAAACATACACACCATCCATTAAGAACTAATTTTACAATGTTCTCTAGAGTGCAATCAGTAAGAACAGAAAAGAATGGGTAAGCCATTGAAAATGTTCTAAATACCTACACCATAGTCAAGAGTTCTAAGCGAGGGTGTTAACTTACAGTATAACAATATCTTCCCTTGAGGTAATACAGAAAGGGTTCTTCAGGTAAGAGCTGGATGGCTATATCTAGATGCTCCTGGGGGAAAAATCACAGGAAAGTCATCTTCTACTTTCAGACACTGCTGGACAAAGCAGTGCCAAAGCCCAGGGAGCTCACAGTGATCTGACAAAGCTGTCTCATTAACTTCCCCATTCATCACCACTAACACAACTAAATCTCAGCAATAATTCAAAGTTGAAATCCCTGCACCTGCAGCGAAAGCTGTACCTGTGCCTTAGGCAGACCATGCTTAACCTAAAGCCCAGCTCCACAGTGAAACTAGAATATGTCCAAATCAAATGTCTTTCAGTCCTAGACTTCCCCAGTGAAGGCACATTGATCCAGAAGCGAGTTTATTGATGCAAGATGGCATAAGGCAGGACAGTGCTGGAGAGGTGATGGATTGATTTCCCCAGCACTGTGAAAGTGAGTACTGAGAGCTGGGACACAGGGAAGAGCTGTTTTCTTCCACTACAACTACTGAGTCAAGTCAGAGAGATTAGTTATTGGGTCACAAGAACTAGCAGCAAAGAGTACATAGGCAGGTTGCTTATTTTGTTCATGCACCATGGTAGCTTTAAGCTTTAGATTAGACCCTATATCCCCTACCCTTGCCTCTGAAGTCAGTAGACTGTTGGCTGCCTAGTCCCAGTCATATGTTATGACGTCAGAGTTCATGACCAAAAAAGCCAACATTCATCTATTATGTGGATTCCTGTACCATCTTGGATGATATTTAGCCACCCAAGTAGTTTGATTCTTTTTGTTACAGTATTAACTGTTCCATTTTTTGTTGTTTAAACATCAGAATAAATCCCCAGAGTTTAACATGCTGAACAATCTCATGGCAGTTAGTAAAAATGGAACATTTTGAATTCCAAGAAATACCTTGAATAGATGTCCACAGTTAATTTTGTTTTGCAAGCCTTCAAACTCAGATACATAACCACACAAAACTGCATACCTGGAAAGGAAAAAAGAAACAAAACAGTGTCTGCCATGTAAAAATTTAAACAAATGTTACTATCATATAACACTTATATCTCTAAAGCACTCATCAGTATTTTATAGAAGCAATAATATAGATGCAAGGGCCCTATAAATAGACATTTGACTTTAATATGAAGCCAGGCACTTCAGGCATAACTGGGCACAGGAGTGTTGATTATGCCACACACATATGGTGAGAGCAAATGAGCCACCAAATGTAATGTGATTTGAACAATGCCTGGTAAGTAGGAGGTTTTAGCCAGTGACAGAGGCCATCATCAATGCCATCATCAGATGGTGGGCTCTCAGAAAAGTCTATTCATGTGATCAATTGGATAACAATGTGTTAACAGAATTATACATTTAAAAACCATATTAAAAGCAATATTTAAAGAACAGTGCCTCTATAAAACTTTCTCAACCTCCTTAAATGTCAATGAAAACAATTATCATTATTAAAAAAATAAAATTAAAGATAATCTTACAGCATGCTTTGAAAAAAATTTTCATTTCTCTCAATTCCTGTGTATTAGTACAAGAATATATCCTAGGGATATTTTTTTTCCTACTAGGAATACAAAATTTATAGGTTGGATGTGTTCAGCAACTTGCTTATTTATTTTAAAGGTTGAGGATACATTGTTTTTCACGCCTGTCTGTTTCTGTCTGTGGAAGTCTTCAGAGGATTTAGGGATGCTGCTGATTATGTGATTGCTGCTGCATTGCACTGTTATAGTGATTGAGATCCATGCTATTTCAATCATTTCTCTGAATAAGCAACATATCTAAGTATAGAAATGAAGTGAGCAATTTCTTAATCTGGAACAAGAAGACCACCCTGGGAAACAAAGGATGACGAAGTCAACCAAGCACGGACAACCAAAAAAATGTCCCCTTCCAGCTGTACTGTTGTTCTGTTCGCTTTACAGCCAATGGGATCCACTACAGCAAAGGCAGGAGGAACAATCAATCCAGCCTATTAGAAATGAGCTGGAATGTAGAGTAAAACCAGTGACTATTCACGGATTTTAAATGAGACTTAATTTTGTTCATCTGCACGCAGAGCTTGGATATTCAAAGAGTGGTGTCCAGAGCATTCTTAACCTCGTTTGTGAATCTGTACCCTTTGCCATCAGATCCCTGGCCACTGCTGCTCCTGGGTTACTGCTCCAAGCCTTCAAGTCAAGGAGTGTTACTCCTCAGCTTTGTCCCCTCTACCAACACTGACTTGAGTCTTCTGTTTCTCCATATAAAATACGTTCATGATATTCCAAAATAAGTCGATGGGATTTTTGGTTGGTAGTATGTTGACTCTCTGGGCCACAGTGGGAAAATGGACATCTTTTATTATTATTATTATTATTATTATTATTATTATTATTATTTATTATTATATTTATTAATACATGTTATTATGTAGACAAAGAGACTGATTATTAAAAACAAAGCAAGAAAATGATTATGAACAACAAATATGGCCATAAGAAATCAAATGTTCAAACATGATGGACAAGAAGAATGCCATTTCATGAAATTGTAGAAAATGGACATCTTAACAATCCTGGGCCAAAGCCATGAACTAGCTCTCCATGTCCCTTATCAGAGTTTCACCGTTTTCTCACATAGATCATGTATATACTTTGTACATTAAAAAAAATCTAAGTTTTTAAATTTGGGGGACATGCTAATGCAAACAGCAATGTATTTTAACGTTAAATTTCAATAGCTTATTTCTAGTGTAGATGAAAGCGACTGGATTTTGTTCATCAACTTTGTATCCTACATCCTTGCTTTGTGGACTAAATTCAAATGTCACGTCCTCAGCAAACAGTTTTTTCTTCTCAGGCTGTATCTGTTATGTCCTTCTGTATATTAGCTGGAACTCTTAGAGGAAAATGCAGTGGCGAGAGGAATGCAGTGGCTTCACTCGTCTTCTTTGCTTATGCAGCAGGAAAGCAACTTTCTGGCGTTAGGATTGATGTTAACCGCAGCTGCCCGGGGATTGTTCTTTGTAAGCTGAGGAAGTTCCTGTTCGCTCTTCTAGTTTGCTGAGAGGTGCTGTCTGTTTGTTTTACTATCCACGAATGAAAGTTGTCTCTCGGCGTGGTTTTCGGCATCTACTGAGGTCGGCACATGATCGTCTTCTTCTTCTTCGGTTTGTTAATGTACTAACTGTGTTGACCCAGCTTCCCAAAAGTCCGGGAGAGAATCCACACGGCTACCGTGTGTCCTTTCCGTACATTGTGGGGACTCAGTCTACTAATACTTTAAAAAACTATTTCTATACCTACACTCATGGGAGACACTGGCCTGCAGTTTTCTTGTAATATTTTCATCTTGTTTTAGAAGTATTATAGTGCTGGAACAAAGAGAGGCAATTCTGGAAGAGCTTGTAGAAAGATGGCGTGTTATATTCCTTAAATATGTGATAGAATATACCATTATTATTGTTATTATTTCATTTTTCTTTTTTGTTTGATATTTTTATTTAAATTAGAAACAATCTTATTTACATATCCATCTCAGTTCCCTCTCCCTCCCATCCTCCCATGCCTCCCACCAACACCCCCCTCCCACTCCCGATCCACACCCCAGGAAAGTGAGGCCTTCCATGGGGGAATCAGAAAGTCTGTCACATCATTTGGGATGGGGCATAGGCCCTCCCCTGTGTATGTAGGCTGAGAGAATCCCTTATTATTTCATTTTTCAAGACAGGGTTTCTCTATATAGTCCTGGAACTCACTCACATAGATCAGGCTAGCCTTCAACTCACAGAGACAAGCTTGCCTCCGCCTCCTGAGTAATGGGATTAAAGGTGTGTGCCACCATGCCTGGTTCCTGTCAATTATTTATTCTATGTCTATCCATATGTTCTTGTGAAGTGCTCTCTAAAATTCTGCTGCATTATTACTACAGACTTCTGCAGTGATTTCAAACCTTCTGGAATTCCATGGAACTACCTCTATTTTGGTTATGAGTATTACAATTTTTCAACTTATATGGTCTCAAAACCTCAGGCTACTTTCTACTTAAGTGTACTTTCCTTTTGGAATAGCTATAAATTTACAAAAAAGTTTGCATATAGTACAGGCAGTTAGCATACCCCATACTTAGTTTCCCCCATTGTTAGCATATTCTATTTCTGTAGTACATTTCTTTTAAATGTATTGGTATTGATAAAGGACTGTTACAACAAACCCATATTAACATACCATTATTTTTTTGTTTTTTCTTTTCTTTTTTTCTCCATTCATTTATTTAGATCATAAAGTCATGCATAATTATGATACAGAACACAGTATTAACATACTATTATTAATTAAGCTTCAAACTTCATTCGAATGTCTGCTTTTCTCTAGTGATTTTCAGCATTTTGGATACTTTAATTCACATATTATTAGGGATCTTTTTTTTATTAACATGGTAAAATCTTTTGAATTTTCTTGTCATCTTTCACAAACACAGCACCTCCTAATTTTTTCTATAATTTTATAAAAACACCACCTATATTTTCTGAAAAATCAGCACTACTTATATAATCTCTGGATTTTAAATCTGCTTTCAAGTCTTTCCAAGTTACTTCGAGTGAAGAGGAAAGACAAAGAAATTCCATGAGTTATGAACATTATTTCCCTTTCAAATAATATGTCCCTAGAGACTTAGGATATTTATAATCTGTCCTGAAATCTGTTTTTTGAGTCTAAAAATATTGTCTTCTTCTGTGTTATAAACTGCAAGGTTACTCACTCACTTTCTCCCAAACAGTCATCACTTCTTTTTTTCTAATCAACTTTAGCAATGTGTGTGTTATTTTTATAGTGTTCAATTTAAAATGCAATTTAATATTTTATTTCTCAAATTCTTAGTCTGATGGGAATTCTGAAGAAAGTTACTTTGCACTATGGTGAATTATCTCCATCTAGAGGTTATTTGAAGAATTGTTGCTTTCACAAGACTTCTGATTTTATACACACACACACACACACACACACACACACACACACACACACACACGTATGGGGCTTTGTTTCTGGATTTAGAAAATGGAAACAGACTTTCCTGTGACACATATGCTATAAGGTGTGTAACCAGAACTCACAAACAGGAGAGCACAACTCATGTGGAAGCTATATTTATATCCACTATTTGGTCAATATGCTGCAAATATACTTTATTATCTTGATTCAGAGTATCTTAGTTTGATATTATAAAGACAACAGAATCTTATTGTTATAGCAGAGAAGCTGTTTCCAAGCTGACCTATAACCCTAGCTATCCAATAAATATTTATTTGGCTAGATATTTATTTAGCCTTCAGACCACAATTTGCAATTCTTATTGACTGAATGAGAAAAGTCTTATTAATGTCTTAATGTTCCATGAAAGACTCCAGAAGAATGAAGTCTTTTCATCAACACTGTAAGAGAACTAGCTATGCAATCAGTTTATCTAAATGCTACCCATTATTTCACAATCAAAGTTAAAGATTCTCTTTCATCACTGCCTTAAATTTTACTATTTGATTGAATGGAGAATTTTCTATTGAGTAGATAGAACACACTTTAAGAGTTAAGGTTAAATTGACATTCAAACTTAGTAAATTTTCATCAACTGAATTTTAAAAAGTTATGCGAAACATAATTGGATCATTACTTTGTAGTAATTAAACTTAATCTGGGAAATAAGTCCCATTTCATAAACAAGGTATTTAATTTAAAACAAAAATGAAAGAGAGGGTGAAGGGGATCAAGGAGAGGCAGAGTGGCACCTACAGAGGGTGATTTCAGCACAGTCCACCTTAGCAAGCCCCAGTACAGGTACTTAATTAAGGGGCCCTGGAAGAAGATTCACTATTGTTTCTGTATGAAAACTGAAAACTTACATCGATAAAGTTCCTCATAGAAGACAATGGACATCTCTAATGTGAGTCTTCATGGGTTCAGAGGAATGTCGTGTTGTGGAACAATCTTTTTTGTACACTGTGAAGATGTGTCACTGATTGGTTTAATTAAAAATCTGAAAGGCTGCCAGGCAGTGGCGGCGCACACCTTTAATCCCAGCACTCGGGAGGCAGAGGCAGGTGGATCTCTGTGAGCTCGAAGCCACCCTGGTCTACAGAGTGAGTTTCAGGACAGACTCCAAAGCCACAGAAAAACCTGTCTCAAGAAAACAAAAACAAAGCAAAACAACAACAAAAAATATGAATGGCCAATAGCTAGGCAGGATTTTCAGGGCAGAGAGGACGCTGGGAAGAAGGCAGAGATATGCCAGGAGACACAGAGCAAGCAGGATGGGTAATATGGAGACGAGGTAATAAAGCCACAAGTCAGAAAGCAAATTAATAGAAATGGGTTAATTTAAGTTACAGGAGCTAATTGGAAACAAGCCTAAACTACAGGCCGAACTTTCATAATTAATAAGACTCCGTGTCACTGTTGGGAAGTTGACGCTTCCAGTGAAAAATCCAACTGCAATGTTGTCTAGAGGGAAGAACAGAACACAAAGAAGAGGAGGGGAGAGAGGAAGTGAGAGAAAGGGTATGGAAGGAGGAGTTGGGAGAAGGAGAGAAACTTGGAGTGAGGGGTGAAACAGGAGTGCCTTTCTCTGTGCCCAGATCTGGCTAACCAGGCCCCAGACACCCAGTTCCAAAAGAGATGAATGGAGAAAAGAGCTTCTCAGTACAAACCCATTACAGTGCCCCCAAAGTGACGGAACACACACGCTAATTTAAAAGTATAGATTTGTGCTATGGAGATTAGATGACCCAGACAGACTAAGGAGAGATGTGAAAGCCAGGACTCTGCCTCAGACTCTCAAGTACTGTGATCTTTTAAGTCTGCAGGGGCTTTCTCCACTCACTTCCTATTCAAAGGGCCACTGTCAATGTAAGGTGTGCTGGAATCGAGTCCATGTTCTCGTTCCTAAAGTTCATTTCCCACTTGGAAGTATGTTTCTTAGAATTTGGGGTCCACAAAACTGCTGGATTTTTGTTCAGGGAGTGAAAGCGAGTGATTGTGAATGGAGCGCCCCCTTCTGACGGCCGAATAAACAGCCGGTCTGCTTCTGGTTTGTCCTGTCAACAAATCCTTAGGGATAACAGGAACACAGAAAGAGGTAGCTGTTTTGAAACAGATTTTACCTAAATGATATCCCTAAAAAAGAAAATAACCCCAGAGGGGGCATATCTCTGGAAACACTGAAGGAAGGTCCATAAATTAATTTTCCACGGTATAGTCTTAATATCTGGGGCAGCACGAGAAGAACAAAGCCAATGGCAGCAGCAACAACTAAGGATCTAAAAAGGTAAAACTGGCACAGCAAGTAAAAGGAAGGATAATTTAGAGCAATATCTTTTAGTTCTCTTTTCTATTTTTTAGGATACAAAGGTATCCATCCTCTGTCTACACAGGCATTTACATTGCTTTGTGTTAACTTAGGCACAGTCTAGATTTCCTTGTCCTGGGGAATTTGTTTCCCATAACTTCCAGGTTAGAGAAAATGACTTCTATGCTTTGATTCTTTGGAGCACTTGTTCTACATTTTGTTCAGACACATGACAGAACTTTAGTACATGTTTTTTAAAAAGTTACGGTATATTTAGTAGACTTAATTACAGTTTGCCCCAAAGGCATGAGGCTTATTAGATTCTCATGAGACACTCACACTTAAAACATATCTAATGAGAAATAAGGGAGAATAAACATAGTAACAGTAGCTGTGCCGTCACTATCATTCTGAGTGCTGAGTGTGGCTGGCACATTCTTCAGAAGCATATTCTTCAGAACTGTGACGCCAAGGCTATAGGGATCCTGAGCACTCACCACAGATGGCAGTGTCCATTCATGGGTGCCCTCATGACCGCTCTTTCTCCTAATGTTTTCCCTGAAAGACAAAGAGACCAAAGTTACTGCCATTAAGGAGTTGTCAGTGGTTTCTAACAAGGGTCTTAGGATGGGAAGCATCTGTCTCACTTGTAACTTGTTAGAAGACGACATTCTCCACCTGGCTCAGTTTTCCCCTGGGGGCAGGCCTGATCATCTATGCTTTACTGGCTTCCAAGGATTTTATCGAGAGCTCATATTTGAGACCCACTGGGTTCACTGGCTTAGGCGAGGACAAGGAAAGTTTCTTATTCATTACTTAAAAGTAAAACACATTGTTTTCCTGTTATCAATTCAAACAGCAATTGCTGAGTGCTCATTAGCCGTCATATTGTGTGAACATCTGGGACTAAAACATCAAATTAGAGATGGTTGTTGTCTTCCAGGGCTCACAGCTTTCAGTATACAGCAAGTACACAAACAAGCAACTTGATTGAAAAGTAAGGACAGTGTCAAAGGACAGTAGAGAGAGTGAGAAGGGGCAGAGAAGGCCCAAGAGGGTTGGCCTGCTCCTTCACAACAAGAATGGGTCCAGGGAATAAACGATGCTCTTAAACTATTATACTCAGTTTAGAGTAGCTTTTAATCATGTGTGGACTGTTTTTCATAAAGGTCTTCTAATGACTGACTGTATTGAGACTCTCAAAAAGAGAATTTTTTCTGTGCCTCTTTCTTCCCTGCTTCTACCCCTTTTTAATGTCTTGAAGACACTACACAGTGACTACAAAAGATCATTCTACAAAAGTGGCTGAGATAAGCTCACATAGGGATCATCTAAAATCAGTCTCTAATTTATTACTTGCTTGAGGTGCATGTTATAGTTTATTCATTAAGGGATATACCCTGTATAGAAATAAAACTGAAATGGAAAAAGTTTAAAGTAAGCATTGGTTGGACAAACATCAAAGGGGCCAATTATTTTTAAATTAAATACTAAACATGTTCCTTTTTCTTTCCCCCAGGTAGAAACATACCAATTTTCTGAGACAGGGTATCACACTGTTGCCTAGACTGGTATGGAACTCACTACGTATCCCAGGCTGACTGAATTCATGGCAATTCTGCCTCACACTCTCAAGTACTGGGATTACAGGTATGAGCTACCACACCCAGCTAAAAATGTGTTCTTTAATGTGAAAAACAAACTAAACTGAGCCTGGCCGCTGGTGCACACCTGCAGTTCTAGCACTTGGAAGTCTGAGGCAACTCTAAGCTGTGTCAAGTTGACAGTTAAAGCTAACTAGAGCAACTCAAGCTAGCTCCCATTCAACTTAAAAACAGACTAAAAATTGTACCCATGGGGCTGGGCATTGGTGGTGCACGCCTTTAATCCCAGCACTCAGGAGGCAGAGGCAGGCGGATCTCTGTGAGTTCGAGGCCAGCCTGGTCTCCAGAGCAAGTGCCAGGACAGACTCCAAAGCTACACAGAGAAACCCTGTCTCGAAAAACAAACAAACAAACAAACAACAACAAAAAATTGTACCTATGGGAACTGGTAACCTCTACAAGAAAACGTCCCTAGCTCTAGCTATGGACTCTAGCTCCTACTATTGACTTCCCCTTTTGGCTCTACACTCTGAACACCTAGCACTCTTTTACAATCACAGCCCATCTCTGTTGTTCTCTTTATATATGATTATGTGAACAGTACTGTCTTTCCAACAAAGTCAGAGGCACCCCTCAGTCTATTTTGAGACCTCATCTAGTTTGTACTCCCAGTCCCATCTGCCAACAGAACATCCAAGAGAAGGAAGTGCTAGAAAAAGAAATACAAAACTGCTGATGAATGCCAAACAGTTTTTACATCCATATGCTTTATCCCCCTTGCAGATAGGAATATAAATCCCTTTAAACTCTGGTCGAAAAATTGTTTTATTTGAAATTAATCTATTTTCTAGAACTCCACTGTGTATATTTCCTGCCAACTGGATTGCTACAGAAAACTGACCTTGGGAAGGTGAAGGATAAATATGAACAGGACAAGAGGGAAGACTCTCATCTTCCTCCAGTGAGGGAGAAATCGAAGTGCAGAGGTCACTTTGCAAGGCAATCTTTCAGAGGAAGAAAGACTACCGAAGATTCTGGTGATACGTCCTTTATGGAAATAAAAATGCCGGGACTAGACTTGGAGGAGTCCTCACTCACTATTTCTTTCTCATACTATCATAGAAAAGCCAGTAAAAGAGAAAGATTTGAAACAAAAGGAGAGTAAAAACCAACCACCATATCAATTATTCTGAAGCTCAGAGAGATGGGAGCTCAGAGGCTTTTGCAAGAGAGCATTCTGACACTCAGTGGGCCATAAACACAACCAACAACAATGCTTTGACATTCTCCTTGGTTTTTATTGTGATTGTTGTTATTGTGAAAAATTTCAAATATATGCAAAATGTATCCATGGCAGTATAATGGATTACCGTGCACACATCTTAAATAATCATCAAATCAGGGCTGACTTTGTTCATGCAGACACATTTTGGAAATTACTGACATCTGAGGGTTATTTCTGTGTTTCTAGGCCTGCGTGCTTTAGTAAGAGTTGTGTGTGTGTGTGTGTGTGTGTGTGTGTGTGTGTGTGTGTGTGTGTGTAAGAGAGAGAGACAGAGACAGAGACAGAGACAGAGACAGAGACAGAGAAACCTGCCTCCTCAGAGAAATGGCAGAAAGAGCCCTCCTTGGACTATCATTGCTTAGCACAGGTGTTTTAGCTTCTTGTGATATCATAAACTTTAAAAAGTTTTAAAAAGGGAAGTCAGAGTTTTTTTCAGTTCCCTGCTCTAATATTATTAGCTTAATTATTTTAAAGGAACATACATTTTAGTCCTGGAAGGCCATTTTGTTCTGAGACCATGCACAGAATATATTGAAATAGATTGAGTCTTTAACTAAGATGATTTAATGTGAATTAAAACTACTAATGGCTTATTGTGGAAAATAATGCCATCTGAGAACAACCAGTCTTGACAAATTACTTACCAATATTAGCATAATGTTTCTTTTCTTGTGTATTTGTAGATAGATCATACATGTCTCCATAGGCACGGACAAGCCGCCACAGAAACTCTATTTCTTCACTAAACTGGAAGACAGAATTGCACACGAGATCAATGCATTAATTTGTCCAGACTGACATAATTGCTTTCACTGGACCTTAAAAAAATTTAGGCAGGTAAAATGGTATTTATAGATGACTGAATTTATACATATAGTCATTTAACATTTTAAACCCAAATATTTATGGTTAAGAAATATGACCAAATATAGTATTACATTTGGATCATAACTCAATTACTATTAAATAGAAACTAGATCCAACTGTGTAGTGGACTGAACCGGAAGGTGTCAGAACCTACATAGTAACCCTGAACTAAGTCACACCCTTTCTCATTATTCTTTGTAAGTTGTCTATTGCCACTACAATAAGTATCTTATTGAGCATTGTAGATAGTAGTTGTAAACTGGAGTGCATATACTCAAAAGAGACATTACAATTTTTACCTAAATGACCTAATTATAATTGTAGATATATTTAAAAATTTAAAACTTTTATTGACAGATAATTCTTGCCCATCTTTATAGAGCACAAACTGATCTTTTGGTATATTTGTATGTTATGTGTTAATCAGTTAGGAGTCACAGATTTTACACAGTGTGTTGGAGTTGCTAAACCCTCTGGCCAAGGTTAGCCTTATATTGCTCTTGGACAAAAAAGAGATTTTATTTCTCCTTGAGCTATCATGAGCTCAAGGAGATCCCTTGTTAAGGAGATCCTTCTGTCATTGGTGATGGTGACACAGATTAGCTCTTAAATTCAAGTCCAACATTAAACACTACAGTTGTTTCTATCAATAGAAACAACTTTAAAATACTGATAGATATTATATTGATAGCAACATGGAAAACTTCAAATACAATTTTTATTCTCTCCAGAGAAAATATACTATATGTCTGGGTATAATGTCTTATTCTTCATGTTATAAAACATGCATTACATATCAAAGTTAATAAAATCCAAGTAACTCTATATAAGTCTTGTTCCTGTTTTTGTGACCTTAGGTAAACCTAATTAATTCACATTTAATTAAAAATTACTTATTTTATAAAAATACAACAATGATTCTATTTTTTATGAACTATGACACAGTATTAGAGTTCCAATATGAACAGGGTAGCACTTAAATTAAAAAAGCTGCATGAACATTTTACTATCGTGCAGCTCTTACCTTTTCCTTGTGGTCACAAAGTAGCTCAAAAGTCTCCAATTTGCTAGACTCATTTATCCGTAAATGGTCTACCTTCTGAAGGAGGACATCCAACTTTAGTTCCTCTATGTGTGTGTTAAAAGCCTTAGCGACCGGGAAATTCTGCTCTTCTGTGTCAGTGTTAGCTGTAATATACCTAGGATGGCAGAAACAACCACCAATTCCCTTTAGACTTATGCACAATGGCCTGAGCATCCTTTGAAAATGCAAGGCAGATTATTCCACTCTGCTAGAAAATGTTATGGCACACACTGTTACACAGAGAAAAGGTCCAAGAGCTGACTATTTGCAAGGACTTGAGCAATTTGTACGTCACCCCTAACAGTTCTCTGATTTAATTTCTAACTCGCCTTCCCAGTCACTCAACTCTACACTGGCCCCTCAGCCTGTCATGCATGCTCCTATCTCAGGACTTATCACATATGGACCCTACCTCCTACTTTTACCTGCTGTTCCCTCTGATGGATGTTCTTTCCCTAGACAGCAACATAATCTCTACTCTTAACTCAAGTCTTTGCACTGATGTAACTGTGTGGCTCATGCAGATCATTCTATCTAAATGCCACAGCCCGAGTCTTTCTTTCTCTTCTTGATGTCTGATGTTCCCCCCAAGCAATATTCCCTTTAATAGGCTATAAATAATAACCCTAGGGCATATGTTCTTTTTTTCTGTATCAGTTCCACAAGAATGCCTGCTTCTTAGTGGTAAGGTTCACTAACTGAAGAGCTAGGTACCCAAAGTAGCATCACATAGTGTGTGTTCACTGGATGTTGCTGAATGGTGAATAGATTATATACCAAGCTGAAGGAACTTAGCAGGCACTTAAAAATGTGGTGTGTGTGTGTGTGTGTGTGTGTGTGTGTGTGTGTGTGTGTGTGTGTGTGTGCATATTTGCACATTCATGCACAGTTGAACATGATGTCCTAATTTTATGTGTATGGTGTATGTGTGTTCATGTACATGTGCATGTATAGTGGGATGAACACGAATGGTATGTGGAGGCCAGAAGTTGACATCAGCTATCTCTCTTAGTCACTCTCTACCTTGCTTTTTGAGACAGCAGCTCTCATATAACCTGGAGCTAACCTGGTAGCCACACTGGCTGGTCAGAGCATGCCAGAAACTTGCCTGTCTCCATTCTCTCAGTGCTAGGGTTCAGCTTGGTGTGGCTGCACCCAGCATTTATATGGGTGCTGGGGATCCAAACTCAGGTCCTCATGCTTGTGTGGCAAGCCCTTTTCTGACTGAACCATTTTTAAAAGTTCCCATTGCTCTAACTTTAGTTTAGTTCTCAAAAATGAATACTGCTTTCTGTGCTGTTTAGATTTATGTTAACTTGACAAGCCAGAGTCATCTGAGAGTAGGGAACATCAGTCTGAGAAACAGTCCCACCAGATTGCCCTGTGGGGTATTTTCTTGATTGATGATCAACATGGGAAGGCCCAGCTCACTGTGGGTGGTGGTGCCACCCTTGAACTGGTGGCCCTAGATGATATAAGAAAGCAAGCTGAGCAAACCATGGAGAGTAAGCCAGTAAGTAGCACTTATTGGCCTCTTCTTCAGTTCCTACCTCCAGGTTCCTGCTCCACCCGAGTTCTTGTCCTGACTTCCTTTGATGGGGAACTGTGATATGGGAGTATAAGCAAAATAAATTCTTTCCTCCCCAAGTTGCTTATGGCATGGTGTTTTATCACAAAAGAAAAACTTTAACTAAGATAGAAATTTGTACCAAAGAGTGAATTATTTCTGTGACAGACCTGAACATGTGTTTTGGGGGAGACTGTGGAAGGACTTTGGGCTGGGGAAGGTTGAAAGATGATGAAAGCAGTAATGAGACTTTGGACTCATGGGTACCTAGGAATAAGAAGCAATAGGCAGAGGAATACAATAGAACATTTAAATCTCCAAAAAAATTGCTAGAAAAATTAAGGTATATTAAAACAGTTGTGTATATGGGAGGAAGTGGAAAAACTGTAAGTACATCAGACCACCATGCTTTAAAGTTAGAATTCAACAACAACAACAGAAAATCTTAAACTCATGGAAAATAAACAACGCCCAATTGCACAATTCCTGGGTCGAGGAAGAAATAAAAAGAAATTAAAGATTTCCTAGAATTCAATGAGAATGTGGACGCAACATACCCAAATTTATGGGACACATTGAAAACAGTGCTAAGAGGAAAGTTCAAAGCGCTAAGTGCCTGGAGGAGTAAACACCAGGAAATAATTAAACTGAAGGCTGAAATCAATAAAGTGGAAACTAGGAGAACAATACAAAGAATCAATATAACAAAGAGTTGGTTCTTCGAGAAAAATCAACAAGACAGGCAAACCTTTATCCAAACTTACCAAACAGCGGAGAGTGAACATGCAAATTAATAAAATCAGGAATGAAAAGGGGGACATAACAACAGACATGGAGGAAATCCAGAGAATCATCAGGTCATACTTCGAAAACCTGTATTCCTCAAAATTCAAAAATCTAAAGGAAATGGACAATTTTCTGGATAGATTTCACTTACCAAAATTAAATCAAGAACACATAAGCAACTTAAATAGACCTACAACCCCTAATGAAATAGAAGCAGTCATCAAAAATCTCCCAACCAAAAAAAGCCAAGGGCCAGATGGCTTCAGTGCAGAATCCTACCAGAAATTCAAGGAACAGCTAATACCAATTCTCCTCAAAGTATGCCACACAATAGAAACAGAGGGTCATTGCCAAACTCTTTTTATGAGGCTTCAATAACCTTGCTACCCAAGGCACACAAAGACACAACTAAGAAAGAGAACTACAGACCAATATCCTTCATGAACACTGATGCAAAAATACCCAATAAAATACTGGCAAGTCGAATCCAAGAACACATCAAAGAAATCATCCACCACGATCAAGTAGGCTTCATCCCAGGGATGCAAGGATGGTTCAACATATGAAAATCCATCAATGTAATCTACCATATAAACAGACTGAGAAAGAAAAACAAAAACACATGATCATCTCACTAGATGCTGAAAAAGCCTTTGACAAAATCCAACAGCCCTTTATGATAAAGAGCTTGGCAGATCAGGGATAACAGGAACATACCCTAACATAATAAAAGCAATATACAGCAAGCCAACAGCCAACATCAAATTAAACGGAGAGAAACTCAATGTAATTCCTCTAAAATCGGGTACAAGACAAGGCTGTCCACTCTCTCCATATCTCTTCAATATTGTCCTTGAAGTTCTAGCTAGAGCAATAAGACAACAAAAGGAGATCAAAGGGATACAAATAGGAAAGGAAGAAGTCAAACTTT